GAGTCTGCTTCTCCCTCTGACCCTCCTCCCTCTCATGCTCTCTGTCTCTCATTCTCTCTCTCAAATAAATAAATAAAATCTTTAAAAATATATATATATATAAGATGGAAGAAACAATCTAGAGACAAGAATAAATGGAGATAACTAAAGTCATGGCAGAACACAGGTGAAAAAGAAGTTTGCTTTATTAGGGATATTTTAGGTGAAAATGGACCACATATTACTAGAATATCCTGAAATATCACCTACCAGGAGTGAAGCAGTTTTTCCCGTGGTTTCTAAATTGAATGGACCTTTAGCAAAAATTGTGCCCAGAATAACTCATCAAACTCTACCAAAGATATAAAAAAACTGGAAGATATCCGAAGAAAATTAACAGAAGAGCTTAAAGAGAAGTTAAGTTGGTCCTGTAATTAAGGAAATTTAATTGCTGATAGGAATTAAATGTATTTATGGGAGGGATGCTGAGTAATTCTTTGAATTTCCTTAAAAGTATTTATGCCCTAAAGTCATTGGAGATTGGAAACACTTTGCCCTACTTTACCTTGATGTAGTTTTATGGTTTATTTCCATCTTATGATTGGTGTCGGTTTGTATAATTCCTGCTTATATATAGAAAACTAATTCTGAGATGTTATTGAACAGTCTGTTCAAGGTCATAGAGAAAGTTAAGGACTAGAGAAAGGACTGGTTTCTAGCTCAAAGTACCTAATTTAACTCATTCGCAGCTTCCTCCTCTCTATGATGTATAAGCTCCATGGAGAGCAGGGACCTTGTCTCTCTTATTTACCATTATATATCCAGTGCCTTGAACAGGGTCTAACACAAAATAGGCACTCAGTAAACATCAGTAGAGTGAATGAGCAAAATTATAAAAGTAAAAACATCCTTCTCATAGGGTTGAATATGAAAGTCAAATAAAATGTGGCAGGAATGGGGAATTTTTACTTGTGACTTTGCATATTTTGGTAGTATATTTTATATTACATATATTATGTTTTTTTTACATTTTTATTACTTTTATAAATTTTAAAAATTAAACTAATGTGAATGCACTTTGGAAATGGTACTGACATTATTTTAGTCATGTGCAAGTTGTTTTGTAATCATCAAGTACTACAAATAAGATTGTCATATATTAACTACAATAGTATATAGAGGGACGCCTGGGTGGCTCAGTCGTTAAGCGTCTGCCTTCGGCTCAGGTCATGATCCCAGGGTCCTGGGATTGAGTCCCACATCGGGCTCCTTGCTCAGTGAGGAGCCTGCTTCTCCCTCTCCCTCTGCTGCTCCCCCTGCTTGTGCTCTCTCTCTCCCTCTGACAAATAAATAAAAATCTTAAAAAAAAAAATAGTATATAGAAGCCTTGGAATTCATAAGCTTTTACATATAGACTACCTTGGCCTATCTTAAGGAATATAAGTGGCTTTGGGATAATTTTTCAGGGAGAAACTAGTGAACCCTAAGTCTGTAAAGCTTCTTAAATCTGAGGACCATGTCACAGTTTTACCTCCTGTGGTTGAAATATAAATGTAGGAGAATCTATCTTTGTGGAGGCAAAACCATATGCCTTACCTTACTTTACATAAAGGTAAAAGAGAGATCAGAAATACAGAAGAAATAACTGTGCCAAGAATAAGGATGTACAGGGCGCCTGGGTGGCTCAGTTGGTTAAGCGACTGCCTTCGGCTCAGGTCATGATCCTGG